GAAATGTCTCTAATGTTCGCCTATGGATCTACGATTGGGCCCATCGCTAAAAATCTGCTATTTATCAATTTTATCTAGATGAACGCGTTATTGGGACGTTACTAATGGATATTTTTGGTTGCTATTGAAAATTTAGTCGATTGCTCAATTTATGTATGAGCCCAAATTAGGGACACTTAGGCCGACATTACCTGCATTTATTATTATTATTATTTAACTTTATTAATGAGGCTTTCAGCCTTGGGCTGGTTCGCCTCCACTTACCTGCATTTCCCGTACTTACCTCATCCCATGCCTCTTCCATTTTAAAAGCGGCACCAAACTTTTGGGATTGTGATGTACAATCAACTTTTAAAATTCAAGGATTAATCACTGTTGCACCAGTATTGACGGATATTTTCATTTGGAGTAAACAAACCTTAGCAACGGGTAAATCGATTAGAAAAAAATCAGCGCTCAACAGTGTTGCCGTTTCATATCATATTTTTCATGTCATTCGTAGGGTTACGTGGGGCTTCCCTTAGCTCAGTCGGTAAAGGCGCAGCTACAAAGCAAGACCATGCTGGAGGCGGCTGGGTTCGATTCCCGGTCCGGTCTAGGAATTTTTCGGGTTGGAAAATTTCTCGACTTCTCAGGGCATAGAAGTATGATTGGACTTGCCACACAATCATACCAATGCAAAAATGGTACAGGCATCGAAAGCTCTCAATTAATAACTGTAGAAGTGCATCTAGAACACTAAGTTGAGAGCACGCCATAAGCTAATATGCGATATGCAATAAGCTTAAAATGCGAAGAAGAAAAAGAAGAAGAAGAAGGGGAATTTCGGTATTCTCGGCAACTTAAGCAGTGACCATCTTTATATAGCCCTTTTCTTTAAGGAACCCACACATATGCAGTATTGGTTTGTTTACAATCTTTTGCTGCCAGCTGCTCTAACAATTTCAGTCGAAAGAATGGTCGAAAACTGTTTTGAAACGCTTTTACAAAGCTCCAATCTTCTCTAGTGAGAGTGACTATTGTGGGCAACATCTTTTTATACGGCAACCTTTCTATTTGAGCTCGGCAACTCGAAATCAGCAGCATTTTGTAGTGCGTGTGTTTCATTTCAAGAAAACCCTGCTAGATTGCTTTTTCTCAGTGATAAAAATGTAATCAAATTGAAGCTGGAAGCCTCAAGAATCGTTTGAATGCATTAAGTGAAGTGTTTCCGTTAGAAAATCCAGCGAAATCAGTGTTTCAATTTGAGGTGCCGAAAATAGTCTGTCATGCCGAAGCCATCATTTCCCCTACCATGATCCAATTTTTTTTTTCTAGCGGATTCAAAAACATGAATAGACAAAATGCAACTTGTTGTGCAGAAAATATATTGAGATATTATGTTTTTAGAGCTAATTGACTTATGAAATCTATGCCAATTTTGACGTTAGGAACGCATAGGTTAGTTAATTGCAGGATTTTTCATGAATGTAAATTGTTAAGACGTAAGAGATGTCCCAAAAAATCCTCGAACATTTAAGGAATTTCATGAAAAACAAAAACTTTGGGCCCAGAGCCCAGATGAGCACAGGTAAGTTTAGAAGTTTTTGCAGTAAATTTAGTAGGCTTCTAAAAATTTTCAGATAATTTCCGGTAGTTTCAAGGCTTTTGAATTAACTCCAGAAAATATGTGGGAACTTGGAATTTCTGACAGAATTAGTTCCAATAACTTTAGACGAAAATTCCAGAAATGACTAGACTTTCGATGGAGTTAGAAGTTTTGATACGGATTTTCAGTCTTCATTAAAAATGCTGATGACAGTTTTATCGTCAAGGGGTGAAATCTCCATCAGGGCTAGTTTTAGTTTAAGATAGTAAAGAATTTGTGTAATTTTATATCCCCTGAAGGAGTCCACCTCTGAAGCTGAAAAGCTAATATAAAAAAAAAATAACTACGAAGGAGAGTCCTATGGGGTTGTACCATAGAGGTAACTCTAAGACCACTGGGTCCCGAAGAAAATCATTATTATTTTTGGCTCACTCAGTACCAGAACAACGGTCCCAAGCAGTCGAAAGCTATTTCACTCACCCCTGCATGTTCTGCATGAATCCACACACCCCTGATGTTATCTGTCAAACTTTCATAGCGAATCAAAACAAACATAGTGTAGTAATAGAATTTCAACTAGAATAGGGTACGTTAATCGTTTGCTTGGGACCAATAGGCTACTAAAGTGGTGAGCCAATTTAAAATCGTTAGTTTCGTATTGATTGTTGGTTGTACGCAATGTTGACGTAGGACTACGTGGTCTTATATACTAAATCTTATTTGCTAACTGCAGCAGGAGCTAGTGTTGTGTGTAGAAATAGGAATTTGAGCGCGGTTCTCTCTGTTTATACTCTTTATGACGCACTTGACATAGATGGCCCACAGCGACTCACGAAGAGCTACTGATTCCGATCAATAGCGGTGCGGCTACTTCCTCTTTCTATGGATGCTCATGTGGGCTGCAGCTCACTGCTTGCAGGCAGCCTTTCGTTGTGTACTGGAGAACACCACCACTTACCACCGGATGGACTTCAACTTTGAAATCTGTGTTAGGGAAATCGCTTTTCGCAGGCAATTGTTGCTAATTTTAATTATCATAGCAACAATTGCACATTCGTGCAATTAACAGTAACATTTAAAAAAAAAGATTAAATTCAACAGATGCGTAGAAATATTCTTGATCGATTGGTGATAAAATTATTGATGTTGGTCCAGGGGCAGCTGAGTTATTAACGTTCAAAATCTTTCATAATTTTGTTACATGCTCCATTTTCGGTTTTCACAAAGTGTACCCCTATATAGAAATCACAGACGTACACACTTAATCTAGCTCGGTAAAATCTCCAACAGCCGATTACCTCAGCAGTAACTTTTGCTGATATCTCTGCAAAATATCTGTTTGTTAGCTGATATCTCAGCAAAATTTATTTGTATTATTTGTTAGCTGAGTCTCGGCAATTGTTTTACTGAATATCAGCTAAATAAATTGCTGAAATACTCGGCTGTTGGATTCTCGGCGAAAAAATTTAAGTGTGTGGTCCTACGTCAAAAAAAATGTATTTTAAAGTTTTATGACGATCTGATTGCAGCCAACTAGTTTAAATCTGGGTTTGGTGAAGACTTAATGATGCTCGAACCAATTTGAACTCACAAAATTGAAACAAGGTGTTTTTACTGTTGCATGAAGGAAATAAACGAAAAATCTTGCTGAAAAGAGAATTTCCTGTTTTTTCACTAATCACTTCAAAATAGCTCTCATGATCATGGTCCGTTTTACCGGTGCACTTGCAGTGCATGTACACAATCTTTTCGTAGCTCCACGTTTCAATTACTACCGAGAAACGAAAAAAAATCAAACTCATCATCTACATTGGCTATGAGAGAGTCACGCATTGATTTGATTTGTTTTCTTTTGTTTACCAGACCGTGGTTTTAATTAAAGGATACGCATGGATTTGAGGTGGTTGGGGCGCACATATGAAAAATCAGTAAGTAACCTCTAAATTTACCAAAGCAGCACTGACTAAGTTTTTCTAAAAAATCGAAGAAGATCAAGCCCGAAAATATTTTTTTTTTCTATTTAGCTGCCAATACTCAGATTATTCTGAACTTACTTGAGAGTGCTAATTTGCTCAACGTTATCATAGAACTTTAAAAAAAATATTAGTGTACTAACCATAAAAAAGCTAAGAATTTGTTGCTCCATTTTGAATGATATGATTCTTTTGATAGGATGTGTAAAATAGTCATCATTCACTGGTTGAGACGCAACCTCATGTCAAACTGTAACTTTTCATGCAAACCCGCACACTAGATTAATCCCAAGTAACAACAATGAAATGTTCAGGCTAGTTTGACACAATTTTCTGACGGGATAACTACTTTTTAGTTGAGATGTAACTCAGTTAGCAAACTCTTAACTGATCAGCAGCCCGACGAGAAAACCCTCAACGAGCGCATGATTAAAGGGTGATACGGTCAAAATTTTGGTCAATATCAACTTGACGTATTTCTTTCAATTTTGCATTTAAAAAACCTGAACACCCCTCATTTTGAAGGTGTGTGTGTGTAGAATGTTGCTCCTATTTTTATTTTGGAATTCACTCTTCAGTTGTCAAAATGCCGTCCAAGCAAGAAGAGCAGCGTATCAAAATTTTGCTCGCGCATCGCGAAAATCCGAGCTACTCGCACGCAAAGTTGGCAAAATCGCTAAAAGTTGCCAAATCAACCGTTACAAATGTAATTAAAGTGTTTGGGGAACGTTTGTCGACAACCAGGAAGTCTGGATCGGGGGGAAATCGAAAACCGGAAGCCGCTGAGACGACAAAGAGAGTTGCCGGTAGTTTCAAGCGAAACCCTAACCTCTCTCTCCGAGATGCCGCAAATAAGCTGAGTGTATCGTCTACAACCGTGCATCGAGCCAAAAAACGAGCCGGACTATCTGCGGCGAAGAAGGTACAGGCTGTACAAAATCTGATGGCAGGGGTCAAGCGTAAGGCCCGGCAATTCGGATTTGGAAAAGCGGAAGCCTAACTGAATATTTTTCCTGAATTTTATACTAATTGAACTTGAAAAAGAAATTTAATTTGATTTTTTAAATAAACGATTTCACCGATTTACACGCGTTTTCCCTTGACCAAATTTTGACCGTATCACCCTTTACTGTGTTTGAATCTCTTTTTCAATGAGAAACGGTAAATAAGTGGCAGTGGCAATTTCAGTTGTCTCAAATTACTTCAAAGTGTCTTACCGAGATCGAGTTGATTCGAACTACATATATATATTACAAATAAGCAAACTCATGTTTCCCATTGCTTGAAGCAATCACTCGGAATTTTCGGATCAAACGAAGCCACGCCAGAACAAAACGAACAACTGTTTTCATCAATGCTTTGCATTTTCGCTAGTACTAACAATGTGTTGCAATACATACTAAGTCAATTATAACAGTGAGAGTGTGTGTATCTGTGTGTGTGTGTTCCACGTTTCCTCCATTTGAAGCTACTTCCTCCGGAGACGGGTGGAAGCACTCCTCCTTCTACGGCGTGACGACAGCTTTCCTCATTATTTGGCACTCAATGGTAAATATCAGTAATATCGGTTGCGTTGGGCAGTGGTCCAATGACTTAGGTGGCTATTTTGGCATCCTCATGACAAGGTCCGGTCAAGCTTTAGTGTTGGTAGTTGTGTTCGTCCCACAGTTCTGGTTTGTAGGAGCCGTCGTCTTCAGGGCCATGGGATGCGGCAGCGTGGGCACTTGCCAGAGCGTTCAGGTGGTAGGCCTTGGCATGCTGGACCTCTGGGGTTTCGACTGGGACTCCACCGTGGATCACTGGAATATGCTGAGGTCCTTGCCAAGGTCCGTAGTTGTGGTGATCCTGATGGGCTGAATTCTGGTGATACTCGTGGGATGGAGCGTAGCCCTTGGCATGAGCGGCAGCGTGGAAGGCCTTGGCGTGCTGCACTTCTGGGGTCTCAACTGGGACACCATTGTGGATCACCGGGATGTGGATGGGTCCGTGCCACTTTTCAACTGGGACTTCCTGGTGATGATCCCAATGGCCACTGTGGACAGCAGGGGAAGCACTTGCGTAGTTTCCATTCTGAACAGCAGCATAAGCGGCGAAGTGGGAGTGCTTGGCAGCGGCGACTTCCGGGGTGTCAGCTGGGACGTGGTTCCAATGGGCAGCGTAGATCGAGCGTTTGTGTAGTCTAGCCTTAGCTTCGGCATGAGCAGCAAAGTGAGCAGCCTTGGCAGCCTGAACTTCTGGGGTATCTAGAGGAGCGCCATTGTGGCCCAGGACAACAGAATGCGAGTGAGCCCATGGGCTAGCGTAGTGAGAGTACACTGGAGCAACGGCAACGACTGGTGCGGGACCCTTGGGAAGGTTAGTTGCAGCTACCTGGAAACCATGGATCGGATCAGCGGTGTACTTGACAGTCTGCACATGACCATCACCATCGACGTAGGAATAGCCTCCATGGGTCACACCGTGGGCGTCTTTAGTTTCATGCTTCTGTGAATTCGGGTCAGCATAGCCATACGAGTATCCTCCAACGCCATCATGAGCCTGGTACTGGGCAGACACGGCATGACCCAGATACGAACCCGAAGCTGTCGAAGCCAGCAGCAACACCGATCCTAACACCTGAATGACGAAACAAATTACCACTAATTAACACACTGATTTTTTGCACAAAATTTACACCACATTTGCAGTCCTTCAATTGATGTTCATGAAATCAAACACCGCTCTACTTACAAAGGCTCTCATGATGCAATTGCTGCTATTATCGATTTTCTCGTCGTACACAACCGTTACAAAACTTGAACAAGAAAATGAAAAAAATAAAACACGATACACCACTATTGAGTGCGCAAATTGATTTCCCGAAACCTCGCTAGCTGCTGCTAGGACTGTTTACGAACTGTGCCTTCCCTAGAAGGAAGATTGTGGTTTTATACCAGCCAAACGGAGCCAAATGAAGCCATCCGCGCGCCATGTGCTGCGCCTCTCGCCGTCCATTTCCACCGCCCAAACGATCAAGTTTCCACCCGGTGCTCGTTCATGTTGGTGGCAAGGTGTATGGTCGACGGCTTTTTGCACTAACTACCACCCTCTCTCTCTCGCTATCGGTTGCTCTCACTTTCATTCTCTCTGGCAAGAGAAGATCGAGATCGGCCACGTGCTTTTGAAGTGATTCTCTCGCATGGTCTCGCTCCAGACGAAATGGCATGCTACCTGTTTGAGCGCCGTGGGCGTAGGCAGCAGCGGTGCCAGTATTCATGATTTGCTGTTCTCTTGCCAATTGACACATTTCTAGATTTCTAAATTATTTTCCAGTTTTTTTTTTGTCAAACGTTCCCTTAAAAGTTATGAAATGAGCCAATTAAAAAAACTTGAAATGTTCCATTATTGTAAAAGATTAAATGTTCCATTGAAATCGCCGAAGTTTGTGGAACATTTCCGCTCATTGATTGGAGCATTTGATCTTTTTTAAGGAACATTTAATCTTTTCACTAAATATTTTTCTTTTCTTTTAGAAGCTTATTTTTAGACGCATACCCGTCGCTCCGCCCCTCAAAAAAAAAGCACGAGCAGGTCAGTGAATCCTCGCTTGGAGAAAAGATTTCTAATTTTATTTATTAGTGCATTTCATATTTTATATTGAACATTTCAGTAATTGTTAGGGAAAATATTATTATTAATTCAACTTCAATATTCGCATCTACCTGTATTTTTTTTATGGTTATCCAATCCAGATCAAATAGATAAACCACGACTGGGACAATGTCCGTTGCTGCATAACATGTCAAAGTAGGCTCAGTTGACTGGTATTTTTTCCTCAATCATCGTCTCAGTGAATGATCTGTCAAATTGCAATAAAACACAACAATGTCCCATCATTACGCAGATAATTATCAAAACATTTTGACTCGAGAATTATCGTAAAAATTAAGGTATCCTTTATTTTGTCCATTGATTATCTGTACCACCATGTCTGATTATCTTGCTGCAAGTTTCGCAGAAGCGGGCGTCGATGAATACAGCATATCATGCGCTTCACGGATACTTTTTCCTTGGTCTATCCAGCTAACCTTGCAATCATCTATCGGAAGCATAAGTCAACTCTTTTCAAATGGATTTCCACGTATCAATATCAAATATCGGATCTTTTTTCCGAAAGGAATACGAACGCGACGTGAAAAATTTGATGCAGATGAGCGGACCTGGCTGGTTGAATTGTATCGCTGCAAACCGACTCTTTATCTGGACGAAGCAAAGCGGTTGTTTGAATACACGTTCCGGATCGCCATTTCATCAATTTGTCGAATCCTTCGCCAGGAAGGGCTTAGCTGGAAAGCATTCGAGAGACGAACTATTCAAATACGTAACGAAGAAGTCGTCCGGTTTGCCTCAGAAATGAGTGTAATCAAATGGGATTATCAAAATTTAATCTTCCTGGATGAAGCCAGCTTTGATAATAGGTCAATGCTTAGATCTAGAGGATACGGAGTAAGAGGTGAAAGTTTGATTTGTAGGGATGAGTTTGTCAGAAAACCCAGAATGTCCCTGTTATGCTTCATTGGACAAGAAAGATTAACTGAAGCATTCTCGACAGAAGGAACTTTTTACAGAGTAAAATTTTCTTTGGAATCTGGAACAGTTCAGTGCTACCCTGGGTTCGATTCTGTTTGGATTCTTGATGGTGCTAGAATTCATTGCGACGCTGCGATAATTTCCTATCTCCGGTCATTGGGCATTTATGCCATATTCCTGCCATCCTTGTGCCCTTTTTTTCAATCCGATAGAATTTGTATTTGGGATGATCAAACGAAAACTGAAGAGGAAGTATCAAGAGAACCACAATAACAATATTGAACTAGCAGTGACGGAAGTATTAACAGACTTCTCGAAGTATTCTATGAATAATTTATTCAAAACCCAACTGTTGGATTGGAATGTGACAAGATTGCTCTTAGTTTTGAAGACAATAGGTTTAAAAATAATTAATAATTAATAAACATAAAATATTAGTCTCTTTGGTCCACGTCGATGCTACTGACATTTCCAGCCAGAGAAGCTTCAAAATCCGACTCGTTGAATGTGATTGCTTCTTCCGCTGCTGAGAGAATTGATTCGCCAAAGCGGTCTCGCGCTTCAAATGCCTCAATGTTCTTTTTTAAAAGCCGCATTTGAGAAGTAAAGCATTTAACGGTTTTTTTTTCAAGATTGTTGAATGTTTCTCTTATGAAGATGATTTCATCGTGGTACCCTGCATTGACGTTGTGAGCCACGGTAAAGTTATGACGAATTTGTCTCAATCGCGGCAGCTCTTTGGCTGTGAAAAGCTTCACCAAGTGCGCTGGAGGTCCAGGCTTTCGTGGAGACAAGGGTCTGAAGCAAAAATGGCATTAGCCCACATCATCCATGCAACATCCACGGCTTGCCAATGCTCTCAGTGCCTTTGACGTAACTTTTACTATTATTATAGTCCATCTGATTTGGTAGTCTCAATGAAACACTCAAATCTAAATGTAGTCACTCATTAAAAATTAAAAATTGGCCTGCAGCAAACGATGACGAAATCTGGAGGCATTGATGTCAAAGTCAAATAGGTCAGAGGCTTCGTTGAATTGATGAATCATGGCGACAAAGGAACTGTTTGCAGCATAGTTGGTTGCATGTACTTCTTCATGTAGCAAGGCTCTCGGACGGAGTGTTCGGGCAGGAGCATACAGATTAATTTTGACCAGTAACTCAGGAACATCAAAGAGCAAGACTTTAGCAACGAAAACGACCTGCAATATGTTTCGTCGCTTAGCAAGAGTATCCTAATCCGACAGTGGTGGTAAATTCAGCGGGTCACTCCATGGTAGATAGCGCAGTGCGTATCTGACGAAATTGCGTTGAACAGCTTCGAATCGTCCACTCCATACTGCTTGGTAGGGATTCTAGACAACACACGCGAATTCCAGTAGTGAGCGTGCCAATGAACAGTAAAGGGCTTTAAAACACAGAGGATCACGAAATTCCTTAGATATCTTGAACATGAATCCAAGCTGACGATTTGCTTTGTCGATCGTGGTTGAAAAGTGGCGAGCTTTTCATCCAACATGCCACCGAGGTCTTTAACGTGATCGACACGTTGAACTGCAGTCCCAGCAACGTTATAATCAAACAAAACGGCAGTCATAGTTCGACGGAAACTAATTACGCAGCACTTTGAGACGCACAGGACCATAAAATTTCGTTCACACCAAACATTAAAGATTTCAAGAAGGTTTTGTAAACAGTCAGCATAGCCTCGAACGACTAGGTAAATCTTCAGGTCATCGGCAAAAAACAATTTATCTCCACGTAGTAGAATAAGCGTTACATCGTTCACAAATAAAGAGAAGAGCAGTGGTCCCAAAGTGCTACCCTGTGGAACTCCTGATCTGTTCGAGAAACAGTCCAATGCATACAGTAACTTCATGTTGCACGAGGTACAATCTAAGCCAGCTGCAGAAGGAAACAGAACATCCAATTTTTTCAAGCTTTGATAGCATGTGCACGTCGTGCACAACTCTATCAAACGCAGCTTTAAGATCAGTGTAGATGGCATCCACTTGAAGTTTCTTGCATACATTTTCCATACAGAACAACGTAAAGCTGACGAGATTAGTTTCCACGAAGCGGCCAGGTAAGAAACCATGTTGACATGTACTTATGTAATGCTTACAGGAAGCAAACAATCTCTCATTTATCAGCGACTCAATTAACTTAGATTCAACCCCAAGCGAGGTAATCCCACGGTAGTTTTCCACATTGCGTTTGTCTCCTTTCTTGAAAACAGGGAACATAGTAGAGCGTTTCCATAGTGCGGGAAATTTCGGTTGACGAAGTGACAGGTTGAAGAGCAAGGACAACGGAGCAGCTAAGATATCGGAGCATTTTTTTTAGGACAGCAGATGGAATAACACTCGGACCTGGTGAAAATGATGATTTGGTTTTACTCATCACAGAGAGAACCATTTGTACATCTACGGCAAAAACATCCATGTTTACGACGTCGGTTGGCACATCACGGACGGCTCGCTCAATATCTGCTTGCGATGGGGAGTCATTCGAGAAGACGTTTAAGAAGTACCTAGCAAATAGGCTGCATTTGTCCTCAGTTGTCAATGCTACGTCATTGCCGAGAAAATTTTTTGACGGCAGCCCAGTTTCCTTCCTCTTCGTATTCACAAACGACCAGAATCCCTTCGCGTGGTATTGTAGATTATGTTGAGTACAAATACATACCTCTTATGAAGAAGCTTGTTGTAGTGGCGATAATCATTGCTGGCAATTGAAAAATTTCATTTGGTAAGGGTACATCGTCGATGAGTGAGAGCGCGGAGAGCTCTAGATCGAGATTTTTTAAGACAGATGGGCAGGAACTCACGGTCTCCCAGTGTTGGTGAGTTCTTTGCCGTTAATTTTCACGAAAAGTTCACTATTTTGCCATACAGAAATTCAAAACAAAAATTTTTATCTGCGGATTTGCACTGTTTTTGACCTGTTTCGTACGACCGGAAGTTATATGCCAAACTGATTTCCTAAGCAATTAATCAATCTTTGATGTGAATTTTGCTAATAAACACGAGGAGCATTTCTTATAGCAAACTTGCCATAACAAAATGGGCATGGTTCATTTAAGTAAACAAACTAACACTTCTTCCGACTGTGGCACCTCTCTTACTCGCCTGGGCTCTAGATCACACTCGTTTCAGGTTCCGGAGAGTAACGTTAGACCAAGGTGGTTTTCTTGGAGGTAGGCATTTTGGTACTGAAGTACAAATAACAGTCGCGCAAAAGGCTATTATAACGAGCGACTGTTGTATCGATATCAAGGTCATTCAACACGTTCCAGTTGATCC